CATACATACATACATACATACATACATACATACATACATACATACATACATACATACATACATACATACATACACACATACATACATACACACACACACATATATATATATATGTATATATATATATATATATCAATACTTGGAGTGTTGAAGGTGACAAATGGCTGTTTGCTGAAGGAGGCATCCCAGGAGGCTGATAAAGACTCGTCGCACGGCAGATCATGGGTGGATCCCAGCCACATGGCCTTTCAAGACAGTGACCGCATGGAGCAACAAAATGGGAAGCGCGCTAGGTGAGTTCGCCCTAAGGAGACTTTGCAGTACAGTTGCTATGTTATAGTGTTACGGGCGATGACGACATGGGGAATGTTGAGTCATGCCACGTATTGAGATTTTTCTTTGGGGGGGTCAATCAATCACAGAGCCTAAGAAACGCCCACCTTCCCGCTTCGCAGCCCTGTAAAGCTCTTCTGAGAAGCGTCAAGCTGCACCAAGAGCCCGAGGGGTGTAGAAAAGTCCCAATTAGAACTGCATCACCATCGCCAGTAACCCACTACAACCAAGTGTTCGGGTCTAGAGTCTAGACCATGGCACGAATGTATGGTTGGTGCCCCGTCGCTCAATTACCCAGGAAGCCTCCAGCTTTTGCGCGCCCTCTCCAAAGTCAGAGTAGACATAGAAGGTCAAGGAAGATGAGTTGATTAGGAGAAGGTCCCTTCAAGTCCCTTCTTTTGAAGGCTGACTTTGTATATATAGTATATTATATATTGTTTTATATTGTTTCTTCACCTGTTGTTTTCATATCGCATGTGTCAAAGGCTGAAGGAAAGAGTCGAGCTGTCATATGTGGCTTGAATGCCGTGCTTGCAAAAGCCAATATGAATCTGTTCTTGCTAAGTGGACTTGCTTGGCCCATTTTTGTCCTTGCTGTGCCAGAAGGGCCTTGCTTGGCTTTGCCCCTTCCACCGAAAGCGTGCCTCTTCGCCAGGAGAGCGGGCCCCGGAGCTTCGGGGATTTGGATTGCTTAGATCGGTGCCTGGGGCGGTTGTTGACGGATGGGGGGGACGCGCGGTCGTTGGTTCGTTGAGGGTTGGGGCCGTTCATCAGCAGAATTAGTTCACGGATGTTCACGGTTAGCCATTCTTCCCGAGGGGTCTTGGAGATGTTTAAGATTTATGACTAGAGTCTGACTAGTCTCGAGTCTAGCTGATTCTATTTGATTCTAGCTATTTGTGCTATTTGCGAGGAGCGTGCTCTCTCCCTCTCTCTATCTCTGTATGTGAGGTCATGCAGTTGAGCACTTGTTTGGAACAATGTGCAGTGGCGTGATGCTGGTGCTTTTGTTTTGCCAGGCGGATCGTGTCAAATTGGCTGTTCATGAACAAGCCCAACGTGACCCACGTGTATCAGGCCGGGCCAGTCGGACTCGTGTGTGAAACCTGAAATGCCTGGCTTGGGGGGAATGACCCATAATGACCCATACAGTAATGACCCCAAAGAAGTTGGGAACATGGGACTTGCCATGCCATGCTTTGCCCTTCTTGCTACCGCCATGCCATGGCGTGGGTCGTTCGGAAGCAGATACTCGCCGAGCTCGGCCTTGGAGACGGCACACTACACGCACTCCCAAACCACCAAGCCATACCAAAACCAATCAAAACCATCCCATAGTCCAGAAGATGTGACATTGAACAATCCTCATGTTCGGATTCTAGAAACCGAACGCTTCCAAACCAACAACCATCCTGAATAGGATGACACGTTTCAAACATTTTCAGACTCAGGTCCGGGAAACCGCACGTATATTTTTCTAAAAATCGCTATGAATTGTTTTCTTGGTGCATCTATACCTTAACATATTCTTATATACATCTCATCGCTATGAATCGATTCTTTTGAGTTGGTTTTGAAGCCCGGAAGCACCAAAATCGGTCTTCTCCCCTGCTCTCAATACCTGCTCACACCCTGTTTTGTCCCGGAGGTCTTGGTGAGTCCAACGTTCCTCTACGTGGTCATGGAGCATTTGGATGGGCCCGACCTCTCGGACTGGATGCTCTCCGAGGAGGCAGCTTTTTCGCCGGAGAAGAGAGACTGGGAGACTCAGTGGATGCACAAATCGTCCCAAACCGCTGAGATTTAAAAAAACACGGATCCGACCTCAGAATAGTTATAATACGTATCTTTTACATGTCAATGCGATTAAATCGCTTTTTACGCCTCAATCAGCTGTATGGCAGAGCCAGTAGCCTACATGCACTTATATAATTATTCACTGGATGGTAAATTGGGGATGGAAGGCCCTTCAGGCATCGATTTCCATTCATTTCCATTCTTATTCTGCCATCTCCAAAGGTCATAATTCAATCATACATGTATATTACATTTTATTCCATGTGTATACCTTTGTGTATACACCTGAGGTCTCATGCGCATTATATATATATACATATGTACTATGATACAACCATTTATATATGTGTCATAGTTCATATTATATAAGTTGATCTCCTCAAGCTTTGGTAGATGGGCTGTGTTTGCCATCAGCATTTGGACCACGTGGAGTCGACCACTCAAGCGGTTTGAGCCTCAAGCCACCGGAGCGAGCTCACCAACGTCCTGCTTTGCTGATTCACAAAGTGTTAAAGTGACGTAAGAAGCTCTTCATAAACAAGATATGCAAGATATGTTCCCCTTCCATGATGCTAGAGGATGATTCTTATTTGGCTTGAAGCCTATCCATCCCATCCGCCAACAAGATAACTGTGGGACAGCATTGTGGCCCCCAGCACCTTTGAGCTCGCTGGTCAGGGCCAAGGAAGAAGCGAGCTTTCAGCCATGAGGCGCAGTGGGAACGCACCTAGAGTGAACCCCTGACGTGTTGAGACATGAATTGCACTTAGAGTGAACTAAGAGCTCATGTGCGTTCAGGCAAGGACCAGTGTCACCTTGGATTGATGGATTTATCATTATTTGTCCGCTGCAAGTAGTGAAGTGAAGTCAAGTGCACTGGAAGAAAGAACAGGGAGTCCTGCAATGTCCTGCAGTAATGTGTGCTTTTTCACGGCTGCAAGCGGGGCGTGTGTCATGCGTGTGCTTGCTTTTTCACTCGAAGCCAGCTTGAACGCGCGCTTGTTGTCACAGGATCCTTTACGAAATTCTGCAAGCAGCCCGTGAAGTCCATCGTCATGGCTTTGTACACAGAGACACTCAGACTGAGATGAGAGGCAGTCTATGCGCAGTCGTCTATTCTTTATGCGCACCACCAGGTTAGAAGGATTTAGGTTTGGCCAATATGAAGTATTATGAAGGCATTGAAGGAACATGGGTGTTCGAATGCTTTCCTGCATTCCAGGCACTCCTGTTGGGGTGATTTTGGCACTGGGGAGGGCAGATGGCAGATCCTTCCCCAAAAAATTGAGTTCCGTCAGTTGCAGGCGATACAATCCTGTATTGGAAGCTGTTATATAGCCTGCTAAAACCCATGGAGACATTTGTTTTGATGCCAAAAGTCGGTGCTAAGGAGTTATACAAAATGGCAACACGCGTTTTGTGATGATGATAGTTTTTAAAAGCAAATTATGAAGCGGCACGCAAGAGAATACTCTAAAACACAAGCTAGGCGCTAGCGTGGCGCTTGTGGCGCGCCAGTGCTTCTTTGAATCTGCTTTTGATTGCTAGAAGCCATTTGCTTGGACCACATGTTTAATCTGTGATGTGCAGTTTCATAGGGCTAGCAGGAGCATGGACACAACTTCAAATGGCTTGCATGTTGCACTATTCCTAGTGAGCTTGCTTTGTTCATTTTCACACCTTGTTTTTGCCAGGGCTAAACCAGGTAACATTTCGAGACTTCTCGCGCTAGGCTCGCGCTAGCTCCGCGCTAGCAGAAATTGCTGAAATGTGTGCCCGGTAGTGCACGACCCAAATGACAGACCACTTAGTGTGAGAACAAAATGCACGCAACGCTCTTACGCAAAGTATGAGCGGCGCTTGACAGACGCCAAAGCCCACACGAGTCGGCAGAGCAAAAAGCTCGAGCAAATGCAGCAAAGCAGCAGTACAGAGTGCAGCTCATCTAGCAGTGCCAACGGCAGCTCTAGTCAGCTTAGGTACAAAAGTATGCGCTAGTGTATTTTGCAGTGAAACGAACAAAGCCATACCATAAAACAAGTGTTCACCGTTAGTGCAAGTTGTATGGAAAACCTGAAGCGGCACGCAAGGGTCAACCAAATTTGAAAGATGCACTCATGTGCCTGCTTTGGGGAAGCGGGTCAGTAGGGAGGCAATCTCATGCAATCTCTTTTGAACTCTATTAGCACTGGAAAAAACAGAAACGAACAGGACTCGGCATTTAGGTGTTCGAGGGATTGAGCACAGTGGCTTTTGTGCAGATAACTTCTTGATTCTTGACAGTCCAGCAGGCATCTCAAGGTCCAAGAAGGGTGAGACTCCTTGGACACCCTTATTTGGGGGTCGCGTGATTCCGATTTCATCCAACGTCAACAAATTATTGTTTGGCCCGAGCAAATGTATTCTGGTCTTTGACGAGTTGCTAGAGCTGGCTACGCTTGCCGCGCGTGTCTCATGTCTCACTCCCAAAGCCTTGCTGGAGCGATCTGCCAAGGATTTGAAGTTCGACAACTTTCGCTTTGCCCATGGCAGCTATGCAGCAGTATGATAAAGTATGACCTTGTTTGCCACAGCATGCTCGGTAGCTGAGGCCCCAAGAGTGAGTTGAAGTTGGTGGACGTGGTCGGGCGGCTTGCCTGACATCGGGAACAGCATGCCTGGTAAGACTTTGCAGATGCTAGGTGGGTAGGCCTAGGTCGGTATTAGATGGTATTAGTGGGCCTTGTGGCAACTTGTGGTCATGATCTTCCATCGGCCATGTGATCAAGGACAACTGTGTCCACTCCTTTTTCCAAACAAGCTTAACTCATGGCCAACCACCTCAAGAAATAGATACCCCAGGCATAATCCAAACCCCGGCCATGTTTTGGGCACTCCAACTCCATCTTCCACCATGCCAGATGAGGACTATGTGCTTTAGACCTGACCGCTTGGTGGCAAAGAGTTGGTGCGGCACCGGGCCCTTCTTGAGCCTCTCGCCGAACCGACAGCCGTGGAAAGCGGAGGGTGGCTCACTGCCTTACATCATGTTTGTGCAGAATTCCTTGAAGGTCACAGGCATCACAGGATCTTTATTAACAGAATATATACCAAAACAGGAATATCACGGAATATACGGTTAATCATTTTTTATACCTTCATACTCAGTCACTGTTTAAGTTTCGAAAGCAATAGCCAGCCACAACATTGCATCTTGATGTGATTGCCATTCCTCCCATGCAACCCGCACCCAGTTAGGTTTGTGTTCATATGCATCCGGTAATTTGTTCTCTCTTTGACTCTGCGAGCGTCTTCGATTATTCTTCAATGTCAACCCTGATGTGTTTTCTTTGTACAGGGGTCCTGTCACCTTCTCACGTTTTCTGACTCGGACACCCTGGTTTTTCAGTTTCTTTGTCAATTTCAGTGAGACCACATGGATACATCAACCCCCTTATGCCGGCTACAGCAACGGGTGCACCAGGGCGGGCAGAGTTTCGAGGAGGTCAGCTGGGGGGAATGGTGCTGTGTGTTTTTTCTATGGTGGTGATTTTCAGATGGAGATGGGATGCTGGACATTCTTCTCGACTTGACCGCATGCCGCATGTGCTTGAATGTGTTTGAAATCAGCTCTCGAAAAGACAGATCAGTCGTGTGTAGACTCTTGATTCATGGGAGGTTTTACAATCCCAAAGGGGGGCACAAACACAGACGGTCCGGTGGGTGCGGACCGGGGCGGACCGGTGAGGCGAACGCAAACGAACGCAAAGGGGGGGTTCTATATGACTCAAGAGTCTACATTAAAATATACATCTATACTACCTTCGGATGACATGGGATGACATAGGACTCACCTACTCTGTTCCTTATGTCACTTGACGCCATAACTCCCAACTGAATTGCACCCAGTATATACTGTAATTAACAACTTCACAGACTCACCCCCTCCGCGGCACCTGTCGTTCGTTCGTTTGAGGTCCAGAAGCATTGCTGGGCGATGTGAGTCCCGCAGTGGATATGTGGGTGCCTGGGCGGCATTCTTCTGCTGGGTGGCAGTCCCTGTCCAAGGACGGGCCCATTGCAAAGGCCCGTCCTTGGTCACATGGGTCCGATTGCAAAGGCCCTAAAATATACCGATCTAAATGGTTGAAACTGGATCGAAACTCACTGCCCTGAGAAGACCTCAGTTGGTTGGGGTGTTTTAACTTGCACTTGGTGACTCGGCAAGTTGAATGTGGCTCTGGCCATGTCGGCTCAAAGACTTGAAAACCTGTTTCTGTAGGCCAATCAATACATATCATTGCTCATTCGCAGGACATGTTCAATGTCAGGCCCCAAGATCCTCAAATGCTTTTTTTTGCCAATTGGCGGGGCCTTATTCAACATCCAAAGCCCCTAGCAGCACCCGCCAAAGCGTCACTCATGAATGCACCATAAAACACAGGGCTCCATTGATTGCAGAGTCTTCGCCCCAGCTGGGCGACGAACAGACGAGTTGTCGGTCATGAGAGTGCTAGATGATGTGCAGCTCTTGCCTGGCATCAAAACCAAGGCTGGAGATGGGCTTGGCGCCGAGGAAATTCACCCTCAAGCCATCACAAAGACACATACATCGTTATATATATATGACTATATATATATATACACACACGTGATCCTAGACTTATATAGATTCGTGCCCCTCCTTATCCCTCCATCATTTCGGAAAACGACCCGGGAACCGGGATGGGAAGTCTGACCGGTCAGCCTCCCCTGCAAACGATCCCATGCAACCTGAGAATTGACCGTGGTTTTAGGGGTTCCATGTCAATTTGCGGGGGACTATCTCTTGCAAAGGCTCATGATTCTCAGCGGATCTCAGCAGATATCGTTTTCCAAACGTCTATTTCTTTTCATGACCACTGCATGCCTGCTTGCAGAAAGCATAACGCCGTAACTTGTAGACAACAAACGGCAGCACTTTTGATTAACTTACTTAAGTGGTCCAATCACTCCGATCTACTTAGACGCGTTTTCTTGATATATGTTGCAGTGGCGTGACTGTTTGTTCGTCACTGCACATCTTGGACTGGTTATGTCCTCTTGCCTCTTGCTCTATTTGGAACCCAACTGTGGTTGGTGGTCACTTGACAAAGAATAGATGGACGAGTTCAGTAGGGCCACACATTTGGGACTCCCAGCATTTCGAACCCAACGGCGCCAGGATTGGTTGAGCTTTTTGCCTCCCAATGGACGGCGTTCCAATGACCTCCAAAGCTTCTTGAGCTTCGATGACACTGTGCCTTGGGAACATGTGCTGAGTAGTCCATAGATAGATAGATAGATAGATCGAGATAGAGATCGAGGTGATATAAGTATAGATATAGATATAGATAGACAGTTACATATAACTACAGTTAAAATTCACTATATATAAAAATATATATTTGGCGGCTGGTGTTGGCCAGAACCTGTTGTTGGGTGTTGGAGAAACATCAGCCACCATCATTTGGGGGGTCTGGTTCGATACTTCCAGGTGTTGAGGTGAGCTTTCGAACGAAGATCATGCATCCTGCTTTCCTGCCGCAGAGATGCTCCAAATCCCATCCCAAGACCAGACGAGTCTATTGTCCCGACGTGCCCTTGGTGGATTGGATGATTTGCAAGGCCTTGAGGTTGGGCTCCCGACAGCGGCATGAAGACTTCCTCTTCGGTGAAACGAGGCTCGACCAAATAGTACCAAACCACATCTCCGGCCATTGTGTGTGCGTGTTTGGCCAGGCACGGACCTTGATCCAATATGGGGAAGCAGTTCCCAAATCCATGAGGGCATGGTTTGCTGTTTATCTCCTTCCGTCGGGTGTGGCTGCGATGGCACGAACAAAGAGATTGTTTCAGACAGAGTGAATGCTAGTAGTTCGGCCGGGTCCTTGATGGTTCTTCATCCCACTAGATCCAAGGTGATTGTTTTTTTTTGTAACCCTGGACGGTTCTCAGGCATACTTTGTTGTGCACCCGGGGGCTTTCCAATCCATAGTGCAGTCCCTGTCGCTCAAATGAAGACCAAAGCATGATGCAGCCAATGGTCATACAGTAGTACAGTAGTAACTTAGTCATCGCAATGTCCTTGTGTAAGAGAAGAAATCCTGCTCCGCCTCAGATGGAGGACGTTGGACTGTTTATGTACAGTGTTTTGGGAGGTCAGGAGTGTATTTTTGCGTTATGTTGCGTTTTGGATTCTGTTTTTGACATGTTTTTTTGGCAGGTGAGTGCGTATGTTGAACATGTTGTCTTAGGATTGTAGCAGGGAGGGTGTTGATGGGCTTCGTCAAAATCCAAAACCGTCGCGGTAGCGCCCTCATGACTCGGGTCGTTGGCCGTGCTCTTTTCACACCCAGGACCTCTCTCAAGCGCACTGGCAAGCTTCCAGCTCCAAAGGAGTCGATGATGCACTTTGGCAGACGGTGGTGCTGCTGGGATGTCGCAAATCAAAAACCAAAAGGGATTTCTCTCTCTCTCTATATTTATATATGTATATATAGAGGGAATCACGCTTTGATGGTATTCGCCAAACACCTTTGATATGCCATCAATTTGTGATCTCTACTTGGGAAATGCCATCAACCACTTGAGGCTAGATCCTGGAACAAATTGATGGCATCTAGTGAGGTGAGCTGTTCACATGTGGGGGACGGAATCCTCAAACCGCAGAGTCACAACACAGCACACTTTGATGGCATCCACGCTCACAACGTATACTGTAGGTCTCCGGTAAGGTCTTAGTGGTGCCCCATTTCCATCATTTCCAAAAGGGGACTCGCCACCGTGGAGTTCAGCATTTCTCCGCCTCCCAGCTGTTTGGCCAGGCAAGCGTTCGTTGAAGTCCCGGCGGTGGCAGCTGGGGTGCTGGGAGCTGCTCTTCCACGCGTATGGGCTTTAGTGCAGCCGGTGGCTGACCCCTTCAGCGATGAGAGGGACACGCGACCAGCAGAATTGGCGCGGACACTTCACGGTGGCGTCAATTGAAATGTATGCTCACTGAGGTCTCAGCTGGCACTGGGTGAAGACATTTTATGTATACATTTGTAGGTAGCCTCCCAAAGCTCAATGGCAAAGCAAAGGTGACTAATTACAGCCCTATTTGTCCCTACCCATTTGTTTGTCGTTCCTCCATTTTGAGGGTGTGGATAGAAAACTGTGGCCCGAAGGCCCGTAGTTGTCGCTCGCAATGAAGGCCCTTTCCTTTAAGAAGCCAGTAGCAGATAGTGGCGGTATCTTCAAAAATGTATATATATATATATGGGATTCCGTTGGAATGACAGATACGGAATGATATGTCCTTTGCAGTTGGTACTCGTACAGGATACCCAACAATAGCAGCGAAAGAACTTTGACTGTCTTTTTGCTGTTCAGGACGGAGACAAGGAAACGGGCTGGTGCAAGTTCATCCCTCGTGCCTTAAGAGTCTTCTATTGGTCTGACCTCATCAGTGGTGCAGTTCTCCTACACAGCCTGTGACTTGACAAACATTCGACGACTTCAACCGATTGGTAGAAACAGCCATTGACCACGCAGTGATGCGTTGTTGGTTGCGACTCAGGTACTATGTGAGCGATGTTCCTTTGAGGACATGGTTGGTCACCCGGCTGGGCTCATGAGGCCCATGGAAGCCAGGGCTCAACGTTTCGATCAACTTGTTGGGCAACACTTTATATAGATACTCTTACCAGGGTTTGTGGGGATCCAGGAATTCCCATGACAACTTCCGCCCGTGTTTGTTTTCATGTAAGTTCGTGCAGTTCACTCAGAGGTGATCGAGGAGAAACAAGCCAACCTCCTGTGTAGCAGTCTGCCAGCTTACCATTCTGTGTGCAAATCCCAACTCCCTAAAAAAAGCCTTAATATCAATTGTCTTTGGCAGCAAGGCTTTTGAATATTGTCTCATGTGAATAGGTAAACAATATGCAATCTTTTTTGTGACTAGGAAGTTTGCTGATGTCAATAAATGAAAGTTAACCATACCTGGTGTGTTCCAAATTGTGCTCGGTTAGATTGCAGTAAAGAGATTTACTTCATCAACAGAGGGCAACTTATTCTTCATCAGCAGAGGGCAACTGGGAGCCACTCTTTTTGAGACTTCAAAATATATTTCACGATATTTCAGTAATTAATATCTACCCATCCAGCTCTTCGTCCAAGGCCGGTGGAGTGGCCGCAGGATTTCCCCTCACTCAGCTGGTGCATGGCATCGCCACTCAGGGGAATCCCAGGCGCATTCGGCGGTGCCGTCGTCAGTAAATTCACTGCATGTTCCATACGAGAAAAACAAGATCCCATGATTTGCCAGGAGGTTTTTGGCGGGGCCAAATTTGACTGAGGGTCGGCAGTTTGACGCACATCCCAAGACCATTATACGGCAGCTTTCAGGACTATGGTCACTATGGTCGTCGACAGAATTATAGAAAATTCCCTTGCAGTTCAATCCCAGCAAGTGTTGTATCCTCAATCCCGTTCTAAAAATTCTTCCGGCGACTGTACGTCGTTAGTCCGTTAGTCCCTGGATCGATGCCCTAAAGAAGGAACCAACCATCGATGCCGTTGGATCATGCATCCGAAATCTCGAGCTGTCGCGCCGGAGGTTCAAGATCCTTCGGTTTACGATCAAGAAGATCCGAGGTGCTTTGGAAGAAGCTCAAAGTGAAACGAACAGAGAGTGAGATATACAGCACTTTGGCCAGTGAACGACAGAGCAACCAGTAGATGATGATGATATATATATATATATATATAGACACACGTTGTCCACTTCGTTTGCAGGGAGAATATCAACAACAACCCTGGAGTGTAATCCTGCCTCAGGTGGTGCTGATCCCGAGAACTTCCAACTCGACAGTGTGGTGCTCTTCAACCGCCGCTCAGCGCTGATGAAGTCGAGATGGGTCAATGCAAGTGGATGGAGATGAAGTGAGAAACTGCTTGCATTGTCTAAACGCTTTACGTTTTACTGTACATAAGATATTATTCTGGAATCTAGTGACTTCTTG